AAAAAAACTTTTTTTTAGTTAATTTACTTAAAAAAGGACCTTTTTTCAGTCCATTTGCTTTGAAAATTTTATTATTTAACGTAATATTTATGTAAAAAAATAACAGAAGGATAAAAAAAGAATTAAATTTTAAAATTTAAAGATCAAAAAAAGATTTTTTTAAGTAAAGACTAAAAAGAAACTTTTTGGTTAAAATAAAAGGATTAAAAAAAATTTTAACTTTCCTTCAAATTAAACCTATTAAGATTTTTTAAAATAATAATTGATATACTATTTAATTTTAAAAAATATTATTAAGATAGTTATTTTGTCCTATTATTTTATACAATTTAACGTGGACAGCTGACTTAGCTTTCACGTCAAATTATTGTTATTTAAAAGCAAGACAAAAAATTAAAGAGGATAATGCCGCTTCTCCCTCGCTCATGGCTTCTCTTAGTCTTTGCCGACGCAAGAATAGTTCCCAGCTACCATGTTCACTGTGGCATTTCATCAAACAACTAATGTACGACAATCATGGTCCCACGTTTTACATTCATGAGTACATTTTTGAACCGGGCAAACCCAAATTAATCAATAAAAATGCAATAGATTCCTAGTTTATAAACATATCAATTACCCAATAAAGAAGAAGTGATGAAATAAGGGGAGATGGGGAGAAGGAGAAGGAAGGAGGGAATTCCTGCGCCGACGGAAGACTAAGAAAAGCAGTGAGCGAGGGAGAAGCGGCATTACCCTCTTTTTCTTTTTCTTTTTCTTTTCTTTTTCTTTTTCTTTTTTTTGCTTTTTGCTTTTAAATAATAATAATCGACCGTGAAAATCACGCCAACTACCCACATCAGATTGTATGAAATGGTGGAATAAAATGGTGATCATAATAATATTTTCCTTTAATTTAACATACACATTCATATCCATTAATTTAATTATTAAATTTTATAAGTAAAATTTTTTATAATTTAAAAATAATAATTTCTTAATTATCCAACATTGAATGTACGTGTTTTTTTTTTTTACAAGTATAATGGTTAAAAAATTAATTCGAATTAGTTGTTAACAACTGGGAATTTGATCCTCAGATCGATGGACATTCCATTCCTTCAAATAAAGCGTGCAGCTATTAGACCGCTTTTTAGTGAAATTCACAGTAATAAAGTTCAAAACTCTGACCATTTCACTCAAACACTTAAGGCTTGAAGTAAAGCCATTTGAACTTAAAAAGCCGGTTCATACGTGCCATTTCTGTTGAACTTTAGAAAGTTTACCTACGGAGACATCTTATATGTTTCTTCCGGTCCATGACCATGTCCATTAGCTCTATGACGTAGACTTTCGAATGAACGGAAGAGCTGCTGGTGATGATTGACTCTGCCGGTGCCGTTGACAAACTGCAGAGAAGGTAGATGGGT